CCCCCCCCCCAACTCCTCCTGTGTTGAAACATGAGTACATGAATGAACAGATGATGATTTTACACCTGCCACATATTTTTCTTGTGACAACTGAAATTAGAGCCAACCACAATTTTATTTTGTTAATGGTTTATAGTGCTGTGAAATAAAATGTTCATTACGGTAAATTACACACTTTGTCTTTGCGTCTTTGAAACGAGAATATGGAGCCTGACACAGTAAAAACCATCATCAGATGACTCAAAATGCTTATTTCTCTCTCATTTTATTCTCCTTAGTTTTCCTATACAGTTGGTCTAGGCACACATTATTGATCTACTTCCTTTTTACCTATATTTCCCATTTCCTTCATGCGTATATGACAGAAGGGGAAGGTATCTTAACTGAAAACACTAGTGGAAAATACACTATACACCAGCCTTTTTCAGCTATAGCTCTTCTTAACACTAACCCATTCAGTGCATGTAATATTCATCATCCATATGCTACATACTGCAGTATCACCACCCTTGTAATCTTTGTCAGTAAAGCACTTAAGCTGTCGAGATGATGCTAACAGAATTAGCCAGGTAATGCTACTTTAAAGTCTTTAATTTCGTGAGAAAGAAGATCTTGAATCACATCTGCACAATGCGATTAATGCTGAGGTGGTGACATGTGCATGTTAGTATCTTAACTGGTAGGAAACCAGCCTCTTCAGCTAGCTACAGCTAACGTTCTTCATTAAAACTAATGTTAATACATCACTGCATGTACTCTTGCGTTTATATTTACTGCATAACAATACCAGCACAGCAACAGCTGATTAACTGTACTATTAACTCACAGTGAATGCAGTAACTGTGGGACGTTTCAGTAAAATTGGTGATTTTGTGTTCTTATTGTTAACAATCATACTTAATAAGCTGCTTTTTTTAAGAAGTTCAGTGTTTTCCTTCTCCTCACTCTTGGCCGTTGTTCTTTCAGCTCTTTTCAAATACAGGACGAGGCTGTTTAGCAGACTGAAGGCTCAGTGAATATCTACAAAGTTCAGATCTTAAATAATAATAAAAATGTTATCAAATTTGTTACATAAAATAACTATTTTATTAGGTTTTCTTTACAGGAATGAACAAAATGTTGAGATATTGGCCTACTGTTTTTAGTTTTTTGCTAAAGTACTAAAATATCGTTAATTTAACATCAAAAGAGACATTAAATCACATCTACAGAGGTTTATCTCCATTGTGGTCTCTGGTGAAGACAAGAACCATGTAAATAAAGAGGATAATAATGTTATAAATACAGAAACTCTGAACTTCCAAGTAGTGTTAGTAATTCAACTTGTGTTATTGATAACTTGCCACCATTATTTTACTGTTACAAGCATTCTGGTTGTACAGGCTGGTGTAGTTTTATGAAGAATGTTAACTCTTCAGCGAGGTAGTTAGCTGAGAAGGCGTTTTTTTTTTTCCTCTGTTAACCTTACAATGTGTTTGCAGTTAAGCTAGCCACACAGTTGTACCTACATTACAAAGCTTATTTGATAACCTTTTACTGCCTTTTGTCAGTTCAATGTCTGCTAATGTCTTGTAATGGTACAGCTATAATATGTTTAAAACCAACCATTGCTCGCTTGGCTTCAGATAATCATAGCAATGTCATACTGGAGTTCATTAAGTTAGTGTTAACGGCATCAATAGAGAGGCAACAGAAGGTTAATTTCCCAAGGCGTCTGGTGAGAGCAGTCTCTGCTGGCAGCTACGGTGATTTTCTTCACTCTGATATCTTTATAATTTGCTTGCCAATGTTTCCCCCTTTCATCATAGAGCAAAACGCATCTGCAACAAAATGAAAGAATGGTTCAACTTCTGCCAAGTTAATAAAAAAAAAAGAGTATAAAGAAGAAAGAAAAATGCTGAAATTCAAACCCACGTACCTCCCATACTCCCGATGCCATTCACCGCAGTTTCCAGCACCTACAGAGCAGAAGCAAAATTACAACTACATGACACAAAGAGGTGGAAAGAAGCATGCATTCTGCAAACGAATGAGGACACCCACATGGTCAACCACACATGCTCATCATCATTTCCTCCTTACCTTGATTTGGCCTGATTTAACCCACTGACTGAGCTCAAAGAGGGCTGCGTCTGCTTTGTTCATGTAGTTGAGCACCGTAAATCTCTCCCGGGTGATGTTCTTACTCCGCAGAGTGTCCTGTGTCTCCTCGCTCAAGGGTGGAGGGTACGGCACATCCTTGTTGTACTGCGAGATCTGCCCACACAGGATCACATGGCCTCCATTGTTCATCTGGAGGTTAGAGGAGGGTTGGAGGTCGATGTTAGACACAAAAAACTTAGGAGTTAGGAGGAGGCCCTTCAGAATCCACAGCCACCACTTCTAATTTTGCAAATGTTGGCGGCACAAGAAAAGAAGCCAACAAACACCTCAGAATTCACACATTTTCCTGCCAAATAAATACACAAGAAATGTAAAAAAGCTAAAAGGAAAACATCCACTAGATTACGCTCTGCACACACAGACACGACTCGAGCTGTACCTGTGCGATTACAGTGTCACTGATGGTACCTCCCACGTTGTCAAAGTAAACATCTACCCCACCAGGGCAGCACTCCTTCAGCCTAGCAGGGACGTCTTCTTGGCGGTAGTTTACGGCTGCAGAAAAGCCCAGGTCTTCCACTAAAGCTCTGCACTTCTCGTCAGAACCACAAATGCCAACTACTCTCACACAACCATCCAGCCTGCCGATCTGGAAAAATAAAAAAGCAGGGTCAAAAATGATCTAATCAGGATGTCACTTCCTTTTCTTTGCAATCTACTCTGTGTTTATGTTTGCATCTGTGGTTGGCTAGATTAGATCTTCTGAGTGTGGTTTCTGAAATACAGGTTATAGTTTCCCCCCCCCCAAACATCTTGATTTTATCTTTCCTACATTTAAACCTGTAAAAACCCTGCAAAAAGTGAAATATTTTATTGTCTACTTATGAATTACAAGATCACTGAAAACTAAGTAAATGAGAGTAAGCGTGTAGATTTAAAAAAAAAAAATGCTTTGTTTGTGCATTTCACCAGTATCTCAGATCAGATAGCTACAGCTGTGTATATATAAGACATCAACGTGTTTTTGAACCAAAATTTGCTGTATTTACCTGTCCGGCTATGGAGCCACAGGCCCCAGCCGCCCCACTCACCACCATGGTCTGATTGGCCCCCTTGGTCACGTTGCCCTTCTCCCTTACGCCCAACAGTGCAGTGAGGCCTGTTATGCCAATTGCACCCAGAAAGTAAGACAAGTGCCCATCAACCAACTGCGGATCGACCTGCAATGGACAGAAGGTAATATTAGTATTAACAGCAGTATGTGTAGGGCACTTTTAGTCCATGCATGCTTTTTAAATCATAATGATAGACTATATCCTGGTGTTGACACACAGCAATATCCTGCACCTTCTGTAAGGCACTTCCTTTCATAACAGCAAAGGTCTGCCAAGGCCAGTTGAATGAAGTGACCACGTCTCCATCAGCGCAGGCACTACAGCGGCTGGACTGCACCACACCGACACCTCCGCCATCCACGCACTCAGACAGCTGCCATGGAGTCAGGTACTCAGCACCTGTGTCTTCATTCATTCTGCATCGCTGAAACAGCAAAGACAGCAAGGTTTATGGGAGTTATGGAGATGGGGAAGCTTTGACACTGGCTGCATTAACCTTTCTATAGATGACACAGGTGGCCTAGTTTCACTGATCTAAAATGTTGATACATTAGTATTATTATTGGGGCTGCAGGATATGGTAAAAACAATATATAATATTGCGATTATATTGCGATACGATTCTCGATTAGTGGAAATTATCCTTTTTGCATCACAAATTTCCACTTAGAAAACTACTAAAATCATGATATATAACATGTTTTTATTAGGTCTGTACAAAACAAACATGTATTCTTAAATCTGGAACAAGATCTGTAGGCCAGGGCATCTCTTCAGCACTACAGAACCTCATTATAATGCCCATTTTACCTTCAAATTGCATCTTCTTTTGATAATATTCGACAAATTGTGCAGCCCTGATTATTGTGAACTTGCACATTTGCACCATTTGTGCATCTTATTATGCACACGCAGATACAATAACGTGAGTGGCTGTATAACTACCATGTAAGGGTCGACTGAGAGGTAAAGCGTCCGAACAAGGACCTCCCCATCTTGCAGGTCAGGTGCTAAGGTCGCCTCCTCCAGACGGAAATTCTCAGGAACTGGCGCCCCGTTTGTACCTTAATGTAAATAAGTGGTCAGCCACACGGGTGCAGTAATGTTGCAGCACAGGACTTTATAAAATAGGACATTCCTCTGTTAGTTTTCCTACCTGGTCGTGAGTTGAGAACGACTTTCTGCACCTGCATCTCTGACAAAGTGACGTTAGCCTCTTAACTTTAGCTGTTACCTTGCAACAAACGGCAAGCTTTTAAGGTCACAGTGTTCAAATGGTGTGCGGTTTTTACATTAAATAGCAACACGAGAAGACTATTAATTATAAAAACTATTCAATATGTTTGCATTGTCGAACAGGTTTCTTCTAGTTTAGTCTGAAAGCTAGCAGAAAGTCAAAAGACACCACTCATTCAGCGCTAACAGAGCGAGAGGCTTCCCTGTCACTAACTTCCGCCTTCGTTTAAATCCCGTTAGGCAGTTGGGCCGATTTTTATTTTATTTTTTTTAGCTGCTAATCAATAAGCACCTCATGTTTGATTCCGTGTCTATTTTTTAAACACATATGTCGATAGTTAACCAGTGAGAGCTCCGTGTGACGCCCACTGTCGACATTTTTTTTAAAATTAGTTTTTAATGTTTAAAAGGCGGCCTTTTTTTTTTAATTTTGCGCATGCTCAATGTGTATCTGTTTAATGTTCGCTGAAGTTAATAACATTCATAACCATCTGAACGCTAACGTGAGGTAATTACACGAAAAGTGCGACATTATCCCCCCCACCCCAACTGTTCCGGTGTAGTAGAGGGGCACTATCTTGCCGGACATAAGTGGTCTTTTCCGAGGTGCAGTTGAGCAGTTAAGGCAGCTACGGCAAATCAGAAACGGTACGCGCCCTCGACAATCTATTATTATTACAGGTCATCGATACCGCAGCTATCGGACACACTCGGCCGGTGAATTTAACTAAATTGACAGTCTGCGTTGCCAATGCAATCGGTCGCTTCGCATTAAAGCTGATTAAAAATTAAAAGAAAACCCCGCGGGGTCGGTTCCCACGGAGACACTGCAGAGAGAGTCGACCCAGCTAGCTAAAAGTGTTTTAAAGTGGAACTGGGAAGTGACGCCTTGTGGAGGAATCTATAAAAAAAACAAAACAAAAAAAAGTTTCGATAGTGAGTCGCTGCAGTTACACTAGCATACCGTTAACTTGAGCTGCACAGCAAAAAAACTAAAAAAAAAAAAAAGGGACTGGTGGCAACAGGGAAATGAAGACTTTACTGTATGTGTGAGCCATGGAGGGACAGTTCAATGTAAGTACAGCTTTTAGCTTGTGCATGCCAAACCCGTGTTAGGTGTGTTGTGTATGGGTCTACTCTTATTAGCCACATATTATTGTGTTTTTGTTGTTAATGTATATGTATACAGGAGCTGTGGTGAATATAGTTAGCTTCACCCAACCCTGAACTTACCCTCAGTCTCTCTATATCAGTGCAGATACATTCAGAGGGGGGGTTTATTGGTATGGGAGACATGGGCTTACATGGCCAAAGCGAGTGTAAAATACATGCATATGCAGATTTGTGAGGACGTAATGATACCAATAAGTTAGAGTAAAGTAGAAAACAGATTAAAAGTAGTTTGTAGATTAAAAAAAACACAAATAAGTGACTTTTTTTTTCAATGTAAGTGTGTATTTGTGTATATAGGTCACTCGTTGTCTCTCAGGTTGTGGCATGTTCATACATATTGGGCAGCAAGATATGCCCTGTCTCCTCCTCTTTATGGTTATTTTTTTTAATCTTGCATGGTGATTCAGATCATTGGAACCTGTTTTGATGTTAATTTGTTCAAATAAATGTTACTTACACTATCAAAATGCATTGCAGGAGGAAGTGTATCCCACCTGTCGAACAGAGATCACACATATTCTGTTTTCTTTCGGTTGCCATGATTTCTCTTTCTATATCTCTCTCTCTCACACACACACAAATACACACAGAGAATGTGTGTGTGTATGTGTGTGGCTAACAGAGTATGATATATACATGGATGCCAGGGCACCTACTCGTGCATTCATAC